CCCCCACACTAGGGACGAGGGACCCCAGGGAAGGGAGCAGCTTTGGGGAAGGGAGCAGCTTTGTGGTACCTTCATATAGAGACCAACCTGAGCTGTCTTGTGAAATATGTCCCGTTTTCCTGATTAATTTCTCTCTGGCTTTTTTTTTTAAAAATAAAAACATCCCCATTGCCCTAGCTTCAGTTCGTTTGGCAACTTTGACCTTTTGCTTCCCAGTATCATAGAATTGACAAGCTCTGGGACACAACCCCTAAATGGCAAACTGGTCCTCCTAAGAGGTTCTGTGGAGACCCGAGAGAGGCAAGTGGAGAAGGTGAGGTCCCTCCTGGGCAACTGCAGGGTTCATCTGCCTGGCGCTGTCAGCTGAATCTCATTAGAGATGCATGCCCATTGCTCACCTTCCAGTTCCTTCTAGCAGTCCTGCAGTCAAGTTGAGGCATGGTTCCCGTTTCCACATCTTTGACAGGACTGAGACTGAAAGTGTTGTCACTGCTCCTGTCTTGCAGAATGACTTTTACTCTCGTGCCAAGTGTGGCCTCGTGATAATTATGGCCGTGAAGCTTTGAGGAAAATGAAAATGGACAACTGGGCTTGCAAGCCCATTGCTTAAATAAAGTCAAGAAAATGCCTATTTTACCTAGAGCCTGAGGCTCGCTCTAAGGCAGTGGTTGCCAACTGGTGGTGGTTGCCAACTGGTGGTCCGTGAGGTCCGAAAGGTTGGCGACCGCTGCTCTAAGGAACTCCATCTCCATCTGAGGCCTCCCCTAAGCATTGTAAAGCTCACACCGATCGAAGATGAGTATTTCTGATTCAAAACCAATCTAAACTCCGAATGATGTAACCTGCCTCCAGTGTTAGGGTCTATACACGGCTTCTACAAATAATGACTAAAATAACCCTCAGCGGTGGGCTGCTGACGGCATTCACGTCGGGCCTGTCTCTGGAGTGAGGTGAGGGCCCAGGGCCTGTGGGGTCTTGTCCTGGCAGTGCCCGCAGTGATGCCAGGCAAGGCCAGTCGCCGGTAGTCCAGAACATGTGTTGTTTCCCCCTCTGATGTGTCCTCAGCCAGCTAGCGCTTGGTTTCCAGTTCAGCAGAGAGTATGCAGGGACCCGGCACCAGCTGGCTTTCTCGGTCACGGGAATGGTCAGGCAGCTCATCAGAACTTCCTGCATGAATTAACTTCGAAAGAATTAACTAGACCTGAATGACCCATTTTAGGGACCAGCAATGCCCATGTGGTGCTTGATTTGGGAAGAGTGGCAGGTGGGCCTAGGTACAGTGGTCGGCAAACTCATTAGTCAACAGAGCAAAATATCAACAGTGCAACGATTGAAATTTCTTTTGAGAGCCAAATTTTTTAAACTATATAGGTAGGTACATTGTTATTACCTTAATTAGGGTACTCCTAAGGCTTAGGAAGAGCCACACTCAAGGGGCCAAAGAGCCGCATGTGGCTCGAGAGCCGCAGTTTGCCGACCACGGGAGGAGGATCCTTAGACATTTTTCCATTGTTGGCTGCTGCCACCTTGCTGCTGGGAGGTTGGGTGAGGCAAGTCTGTCGTGTGGACTGCAAGAAACACCTGCATCTGTATGCTTGGACATGCTCTGTTCTCTGCTACTCAACTGAAGAGGATGTGATTGGAGATTTCAGGCACAAGTCATTGGAGATTCTTCTGTGTTAGGGCTGGATGTTTATTGCAAATGAACCTTTTTTTTTCAGCTATGAGACACAGGCCTGGCGTATATCCAGTTATATCTGCTCATCCAGTTCAGACCTCCAATGTCCACTGCTGCGTGCCAACAGGTTTGGAGGCCACCTAGCCGTGGGAGAATTCCCGGCTCCGCAGTGCAGACTGGGACCTCCCTTTCTGACCACATGCCCAAGTCTGGGCTTCTGGCTCACTGTGGCTGGTGCTTGCTGTTCTGCTCCTTTCCTCCCATGCCCTCTGTCCTGACCCCAGCTCAGGCCCAGGCAAGTCCTCCTGGCCAGCGTGGAGAGCAGTGAGTGCACACAGTGATCTGATGAGCTAGGTGCAGGGGGGCCTCCTTTCCTGCTTCATGCCGATCTAGCCCAGGGGCCAAGTTGACATGACAGGCTTTCTCTTCACCCTGCCCCCGTCCCCCCACTAATTTTTAGAGAAAGAGGAAGGGAAGGAAGAGAGGGAAAGAGAGAACCATGGACATGAGAGAGACACATCAATTGCCTCCCGCAAACACCGAGACCAGGGCGGGGATCAAAGCTACAACCAAGGCACGTCCCCTTGACCAGGAATTGAACCCCAATCATTCAGAGTGCCAGTCAACACTCCACTGAGCCAAATGGTCAGAGCAACAGGCTTTCTTTCACTGAGAACTTGGAGTTGGATGCTGCAGCAAGACTGATTCTCTCCACCCTGACGACACTTCAGGGCTGTTGTTCAGTTTATGGTTGCCCAGTGAGTCACTTTTTAGTGTCAAAGGAACAGAAACCTGCTCAGTCCCTTTGTCACTTAGTGAACTTGGTCACAGGAATAGAAATTTCCTAAGTTCCTGTGACCACAGTGTCTGGTGTATAGGCTCCAAGCAGCCAGATGTTTGATTCTGAGTTTGGAGAAAGCAGATGTGTGCTTTTGGAGCCTTTTATTCTGTTCACTACCTTTGTGTTCCAGCTGTTAAGAGTGCTATGGGATGTCGTCATTTTTTCCTGAACTTGAAAAAATACCCCAATTTATGTGCCTTCCCAGTGTTAACGTAGGCTAACTTCTCTGTCTTTATTTTTGGGAGAAGATCTGGAATATAATCTGACTAAACGCTCTCAGAAGTATTTAGAGAGTCGAAGAAAGCCACTGTTAGATAAGACGAAGGTCCCAAAGTCTGGGCAGTTCTTAATATTACTAAATGCAATTGCTGCTAAATGTTAAAATGTAGTACAGTACTTTGCAGAGGCAACTTTAAAGGATGAGCTTGAGCAGAACCCAACCTGATAAGTTTAGGCAACTGCCAAGAAGAAATGAATGTGTAATTAACCAAATAGTGTATACAAGTCATGGCTAAGCCTCCCTCTCGGGAGACAGAGCTTTGGGTGTCAATCTCCTTTACTTGCTGCAAGTAAATAAAACTACCTAATAACAACCACGTCTTGAGTAGGACACCCCAGGCAGTGAACCCCTTGAGTTGGGTAACACCACAATGCCATCAGTTTGCCTGAAACTGTCATTGGAAATGGGATGTGCACATGCGTGTTTGTATTCACACAGGCACAGATCACACGGCATCCGTTGGGCCTTCCCACACTGAGAGGAACAGGGCTCTACCTGGGAGCCCCTGAAGACCTCTGATCAGGCTCAGAAGATGGCTCTGGCTGTCAAGTTGAGAAGGGACTGCAGGTGAAAAAGGTGGTGGGAGATGTCCCCAGGAGGCTGCTGTGGGGATTCCGGTAAGGGTTGACATGGCCTGAACCCTGGAAAATGACAGGACTCTGGCTAAGGAGTTGTGGACTGCTGGACTGGGTTGGAGGGCTGAGAGAGAAGAGCTGATGCCACTTGCCCCAACACTGTCTCAGGGGACCCGCCTGCTAGCGGCTCAGTGCTGGAGCCCACCTCACAGAGCCACTGTGACCACTCATTGGACCGCAGGTGCCTGGACACAGCTCAGGGCAGCTGCCATACCAACATGGGAGCCCAGGCAACAGGAGGAATTCATAGGTCACCCTTGTTCAGAGAGTCTTTCAGAGCGTGTCTGCTGAGCACCTTGTGGACCAGGCCAGGAGGCAGGCGAGGACCTAGACCCAATTCCTGTCCTCTTCTCAGGCCCCTCCAGGATGCAGGATGGAGCTAGGGGCTGGCTGAGCCTGGTGAATGCCCCTCGTCACCAAGGCGCTTCTCTCTGTTCTCAGTGTTCCATGGTTGGATTGGCAAGCTTCCATTGGGCACCACAGGCAAGTGAGACACTTCTCAGAACCCCTCTTCTCCCGAGGGCGCTTTGGTGATCTCAGGGAAAGCACTAGGATGTGGGTGCTTGGTGTGGAGGGGTGTGTGTGTGGGGGAGGGGGTGTGATGGTGACAGAGGCATTTGAAAATGAACAAACTCTCCGAGCCTGGCTGTCTGGCTTGGGCTGTGCCCCTTTCACAGCGCTGTGATGACAGGCAGGAGGAGGGTGAGAGTGGGCTCTGTGTCCCACAGCAGGAGGATACAGTGAAGGAGAGAAGGGAGACCGAGATGCTGAAGTCACACAGCTCACTGAAGAGAGAACGCTAGAACGCCACAGACTGAGAGGCGAGGAGAATAAGGGTGACCATGAAACCCGTGATCCCAGGAGGAAAGGGTAAGAGTTTGGCAGCAGAATTGCACATGATGTCCACCAGTGGGCACCGGGCACATAACCCAGGCCCCAGTGTGGGTGAGAAAGTGAGCGTCCTGTATACAGGAGCCATTATCACAGATCACACCAACGCAAATCAGTGGCGCCTGGCATCTTAACCCAGACCCACTACATGGCCTGACTGGAAAGGGATACTTTAACTTCCAAGAGACTCAGTAGTCCCCCGATAAGGAACATGAAATCTTAAAACTTACAGTTTTTAGATTTTATTTAAAAATCATGTTTTAACTTAATCCAGGATTTAGATTTGTAGAACTCCTCTTCCACGCCTGTGGTGGGTCAATTAGGCTGAGCGCAGGCTAAATGCAGTCCCCCCTCGTGCTCTCATGCAGGGACCCCTGGCTGGTGAACACACTGCACAGTAACTGCACCATGATTCAGGGACTCAGAGCCCTCACTCTGCTCCCCCTTCCTTTTCCTGGGAACTTTGGAAACAAAAGCCTGGCACAGAAATGTTTGGCAACCACAGGCTTCTCTAGTCCCGCTTCCCTCCTGTGACAGTGGCATTGAGCCAACCCTTGCTTGAAGTGGGAAAGGAGAGGGAAATATGGGGGCAAATACACTCAGGTACTGACGGTTCATGTGCCTGGCTCTCCAGCACCTTTCATGCTCTGTCTTACCTGATCTTCTCAAACTTCCTGTGGGATCGGTTCTATGGTTGTTAATAGTTTACCTTTGAAACTGAGGCTTGGAAAAGTTAGGAGACTTGCCTGATATACACAGGCATTCACAGCATGTCTCCTGAGCACCCTGTGGACCAGGCCAGGAGGCAGGCGAGGACCTAGACCAGTGATGGCGAACCTATGACACGCGTGTCAGAGGTGACATGCAAACTCATTTTTTTCTTTTTTTCTTTGTTAAATGGCATTTAAATATATAAAATAAATATCAAAAATATGTCTTTGTTTTACTATGGTTGCAAATATCAAAAAATTTCTATATGTAACACGGCACCAGAGTTAAGTTAGGGTTTTTCAAAATGCTGACACGCCGAGCTCAAAAGGTTCGCCATCACTGACCTAGACCAAGAGGCAGGGCGAGGATTGGGATCAGGCCCTTGTTATTCTGAACAAGGGTGGGGTGTCCCTTGGATCACCAGCTGGCATGGTAGATTTGCTTTCCTGGCTTTGAACATCGTACAGGTGGAATCACATGTACATTTTGGGGTCTGGCTTCTGTGTGCTTCATCTACTTTGTTGGGGGCTGCGATTGTGTGTTTGTGTTCCATGTGAATATGCCATAAGTATTTTTTAAAACTCTTCTCCTATAGACATTGGGGTCATTTCCAGTTTGGAGCTGTTAACAGAAGATTGCTGTGGATGTTTTTTGCCCATGTCTTCTGGTGGACATATGCTCTCATTTCTCTTGGGTGTATAACTGGGCAAGGAACTGCTGGTTATCGAATATTCATGTTTAGGTTTTATAATACTGCCAAACAGTTTTCCAACACAGTTGTATCTATTTCATGAGCAATGTATGTGGGTTCCACCTGCCACATCCTCAAAAACTTGGTATCTTCAGTCCTTTTAATTTTAGCCATTCTTGGTGGGGATGGCTAAAACAGTGATGAGCTGTGCTTAACATGAAAGGACAAGACAGTGTGTCAGTGGTAAGGACCAGAGCTTGCGAGGGTCATGAGCCTGTCCTCCATGCTATAGCCATGCTCCAGTGGGCTTAGAAGGGAAATGGCAGGGAAGCCAAGAGCACTCCCAGGTGGACAGAAACATGACAGCTAGCTGTACATAAAATGCTAGGCTAATGAGGAGAGTCCCGGATAATTTTCTCATTAGCCATTAAGAGGCCAGTGATGACACTTATAACCACAGATACAGGGGGTAATGTTTGAGCTATTTAGCAGCTAATACAGTAGGGGCACTGCCCAGTCAGCATGGGTGCTGGCCAGGAGAGCATTCATGTGTGTACTGCTCAGTCCTGCTCACAGTCACGCCCTTGATGGTTTAATAGCAGAGCCAAGAAAGCTGAGTAGTGCCTGGGAGCACCCCTGTTTGCTCCACAGTTAGAGTGCAACACATGGGAGGCACGGCCCATCAGGGCTACAGTTCCTTTTATGATGGTGTGGACAAATATTGATATTGAGAGTATTAAAGTGAGCATGAAAATACTGAAAAGTGGGTAAAAACTCGTTTCCAAAAAATGCAAAATGAAGTTTGTGATAAAGGAACATATAGAGGCAGAAAGTATTTGGTTTTATGAAAATGTGAAGACATAATCCTGCTTTCATTTTAGCAACTGCCCAGCGCGGGCACCCGTGCACGGAGTGAAGGTGGAGGAAGGGGAGACTAAGGGGCAGCTGGACCCTCGGGGCGGCAGCCGCTTTGAATTCCACGGCCTTTTAAACCTCAGGTCGCTCAGGAAACACACATTTCTCTAAAAGCCACAATTTGAGCCCATCGGTAGGGTTGTCAGATTCAGCAATGAAATGCGGTGCACGGTTAAGTCTAAATTCCAGAAAAACAATGAACAACTTCAAATACAAGTAGTAAGTACTGTTATATGCCAAGTCCTGCGTGTGATAAACTCATGCCGAGATGCGTCGTGGCTCCCTGAAACCTGCCCTGGGCCCGCATCCGCGCGGCCCTGCAGGGTCGCACTGACTTCTCTCCTTCCGGCGGACAGGCCCCTCTCCCGGCCCCCCTCCCCCTCCCTCACCGCTGGGGCGCCCCGCGGGCCATCCTTGGAACGGTGACTGGGCATCCCCGATGACGGTTGCTGGGCTTTCCATCCAGGACCACCCCGTCCCATCCGTTAACCCGCCACCCCGAGGTCAGTTCCACTAGGAACCAATCAGCCGCCAGCTAACGGCACGTGAGGGTAGCGCTTAATTGGCTGGAGATGCGCCAATCAGCGGGGCGCGCAGAGGGGCGGACCCGGAACAACGGCTGGCGGAAGGGGCTTGGTCCGCGGTGCGAGGAGGGCTTGGTGTGAGGGAGAGCCCGGCCGCCTGCGAAGCGCCTCGCGTGTTCGTCTCCGCCTGCACCCCCACGTCTCAGTGAGCATCGCCCTCCTCCGCGGCCGTCTCAGCGCGGCTCTCAGCCGGCCCCGCCGGAGCCCTCGGCGTCCGTTGGGTCTGTTAGGGCGGCCTGGCCTGGGCGCCCCACGTCCCTTCCCCGCAGTAGCGTGTGTCGCGCAGGCAGGGCGGGGACCACCTGAGCACAGGCTGTAGGTGCGGGGCAGTTTGCCGTCTCACTGAGGAGTCGGTGACGGGCGTCAGGCGGGCGTGTCCCGCTGCTCAGGCAGGCGCTGCGGTCCAGGGTGTTTGCCTTGTCTCCCACTTGGCTTTTCTGGGTGCTGGCCCTTCTCCCAGCAGCGGGGCCAAACTTCCCGCCTGGGGAGCCGGGCTCCAGCCCCGATGAGCCACGTGAACGGAGCCGGTTGTGGCCCCCAAGGAAGCGGGGTGCTTGGCCGCTATGCAGGGCTCTGCCCACTTCCTCGGTCTTCAAATACTAGCCGGGTGACTTGATCACAATGACCGGAAGCTGTTGTAATCAAATAGCAATAATAGTTATGGTAATAGACACAAAAACACTTGTATCACTCTTCTGGTTTTCAGCTTATTGCTCTGATAAAGTAGCAATGATGAGGATAATATTGACACTCAAAAAACGTTTGTATCATTTACAGTTTCCATATTACCAGACACCTGACACATCCCATTCATGCCGCCGGAGATTCCAATGGCCAGCATTCTACCATTTGTTGGGTGGGAATGAGGAAGAGTAACAGTCATCCCAGAGACCAAGTACCAGGTTTTTGTGCTGGAAGGAACTTAATTAAATGTGGTTTTGACACTGTTTTCCTTCCGTATTCTAAGTAAGCTAGGGAGGGACTGAGAAAGCATCATAGGTGTGCTCGGCAGCTCCATGCCTTGGGAAGTTCTCACTGGTTGGAATGTCCTGTCTTCCCCGAAGGGCCTGGCTGGAGTGTGCCTGAGCCATAGGTTCAGCAGTGAGGGTTCCGCAATAACCCGACATCCAGGAGCCCCAGACAGCACAGGCGCCCACGCACACCTTTTGTTACCACCCAGACCCCCTCTTAGGCTTAGAAGGATGACCCCTTACACCCCTGGGGTTTAATGATAGGAGCCAGTTCCAGGAAGGCGGCCCAGGCCCTCATCCTAGCACTCCTGTATCCAGTTTACACAAAGCCCACAGCTTTCTCAACCTCATGCTCTTTTTTTCTAGGAAGAGCACATTTCAAACCCTTGGGAAAGAAGTGTGCCTCACAGATCCTTTGGTAAGGAGAGCAAACCCAGCACACCCCCGTGGGGTGGGGAGAGCGGAGAGGTGGGTCAGAAGTAGCATTCATGAGGATATGTTGTACACAGGAGTTCATGGTGTAGGGTCATCACCAAGCCCCCCAAAGCTCTATGTAGTGTCACCCACTGCCTATCCCCAGCCCCCAGTTCCTCATGACACGTTGAGACAGGGATTCGGGAGGCTTGGGACAACCGCACTGCCCTCTAACATACCTGCTCTGGGCATCCGCTTCTTCATCTGCCCTGAAGAGGATGACTCTCTCTCCTTCCTGCTCGTGGGGGGGCAGGATCACAGGGGATGGATGTGGGAGCCTTTGCAAGTGGAAAGCCCTGGATGCAGATTGACACGTAATCAGAAAGAGAGCCATCATCTCTCCACTAGGGTTGTATTTCTCATGGCAGTGCGGCAGGAAGCGGCCACCAGTCCCAGCACACCTGTTCTGCAGGCTCTGGCTGTCCCCACCACCTGACTTTGGAGGGTGAGCCATGGTAGCCTGCCTCTTTCTGAGCTGCAATAGGAGATGAGGCCTGTCCCTGCCCTTGGACATCTTGCCTCAACCCTGGCTCTCTCTGAGCATTGACTTACTCTTCCAGAGAGTTCCTTGGCCTACGTTACAAATGCAGCATCACATTCAATTGTCTTTTCTGGCTCTTGCTCAGATGTGTCCTGTCCCCAGTGCTGTTCACCGAGAGCCCCTCTGCTGTGAGTACCAGCCCAGATTTGGGGGCCGCCTACCGGTGCCCAGGGCTGAGGCAGCACTACCTTACTGGGTCCCTCTGTCCCTGAGACCCCAAAAGCAGGTAGGTGACTTGAACCAGGGGTTCTTCATCTGGGTCCGGGGTAAACTTCAGGGGACCAGTCACTCCTCAGAGTCATAAGTTCTGATTCATATAATCAGAATTATATGAATGGGTGTGTGTTTGTTTTTTGGGGTTAATCCTCACCTGAGGATATTTTCCCATTGATTTTTAGAGTCGGGGAGAGAGAGAGAGAGAGAGAGAGAGAGAGAGAGAGAGAGAGAAACATCGATGTGAGAGAGACACATTGATTGGTTGCCTTCTGCATGCTCCCTAATCGGGGTGGGGATCAAGCTTGCAACCAAGGTACGTGCCCTTGACCAGAATTGAACCTGGGACTCTATTCTGCAGGCTGATGTTCTATCCACTGAGCCAAACCAGCTAGGCCAGTGGTCGGCAAACTCATTAGTCAACAGAGCCAAATATCAACAGTACAACGATTGAAATTTCTTTTGAGAGCCAAATTTTTTAAACTTAAACTATATAGGTAGGTACATTGTTATTAACTTAATTAGGGTACTCCTAAGGCTTAGGAAGAGCCACACTCAAGGGGCCAAAGAGCCGCATGTGGCTCGCGAGCCACAGTTTGCCGACCACGGGGCTAGGGCATTGGGTTCTTTTAATAAGAGGGAGGAAGTGATTGCTGCATGGACAGACTGTACGGTGTTCCCGTGAAGTCAGTTCCGTTACCCACATCCTTGAGGGCTGTCAGATAGGCTCGTGCTCTTCTGCTGCTTTCTCCACTGGCCAGCCCCTGGGACCGGTTCAGTGACTCTCTTGGAAAGCCTCCTCTGGCTTGGAATGCTTTCCTAGCTCCTGTTCCCTGTCCTCCCGGCATTTATTATTTCCCATGGATGGTGTGGTGGAGTGACCCCCAGTGGACAGGATGGAGTTCCATGTGCTTCTAGTGCAGCACTGCCAGGGAGCATGCGCTCAGCAAGTGGTTAGTAGACTGGGTAGAACTGGCCAGAGTGTCCTCATCCTGCCAAGCAAAGGGGTCACAAGCAAAGGTGTCCATGCCATGGTGGCAAGAGGTGCAGAGATTGGGGAGGGTCCTGAGTGCCCCAGGCCTTGTTAGGTCTTCTCCTTTGCCTAAGTCCTCAGATCCCCTCAGCCCTTCCTCTGTAGAGTCATCTGTGCTTTGCAGCACATCTCATACAGGTTGTCTGGTGCTCCTGGCAGCTTTGGGAAGTCCACAGGGTCACTCAAAAGTAGTTTTTATTACTTTCTGTAATGTGTGACATGTGCGCATGGTTGGGAATTCCAGCAGTACAAAGGAGCCTGCCTCCGCCCCCTTTCCTGTTGCTCAGACCCTACCCCAAGGCTTGCTGTGTGTCCTGGAGATTTTCTGTGTGTATCTGCTATCAGTGGAAACAGTGCTGTTTGACGGGGTCTCTAGGAAGACATTCAAGAGACCCACCTATGGGAGGGTGTGACGTGGTAATTTGTGGCACCAGATGCAAAACCAAAAGAGTGCCCCTGGGTCCCCAGTGTCCCATTTCCGACCCTCCTGCCATGGAAAAAGTCCAGCCTCTTCTTCTTCAAGGCCCAAACGAAGGCAGGTGTCCAAAGATTCTGTGCCATTGGTCTGGTGTCAGCAGTCTCAGTCCCACCCAGGTAGCTTAGCGCCATTCCCAGCTACTGCCGTTGCTGTGCTGCTGGACCCAGGCTCCCACTTGGGAGCCTGCATTTGGAGTCCCCGGGGCTTCTAGGGCCACACGGTTACTATGGAGAGAGAATGCGCAAACGAACGGGCTAGTGCGCATTACTGGGCTCAATGGGTCCAACTCTTAACCAGTGTATTATTTTCCCAGGCGAGACTGACAGGCTATGCTCACCATCTTGGCTCCTACTGCACACGTGCTTACCTCCCCTTTACTGTTCTAGCCTGTTCCCTGGGGAGTAACTTCCCAGGGAAGCAAGCCTATGCTCTCTAGTTGATTATTCATAATTCCCTCGCCCCCTTCCTTTACTAACATCTTGCTACCTAAGCTGGCATATTCTTTCACTAGTGCTAGTGATGTGTAATAAGTCACCCAACTCCTGGCTTGAAAGAGCAGTCACTGTTGTTATTTGTGTGTCTGGGGGGCAGCCCAGCCCCATGTGTGTCTGATCTTGAGGCTGGTGGGCTTGCTCAGGATGGTCTTCCCGTGGCAATGACAAATGAGTAAGAGCAGCTGGAAACCTTTGAGGATCCTTTAGCCCAGGTCCAGATCTGGCTCTCCCTGGTCTAACCAAAGTTGAGGTCACCCTGTCCCTGCTGGAAGGAACTGCAGAGTCACATGGCAAAGGGGGAGGCTGCAGGGAAAGGGTGAAGAATTGGATGTGGCCCACCACAACTCATGTACAAGCAATATTACACATATATCTTTTTAAAACCACAAATAGTACAGTGCTATGTTTCCCACTTCACATCATGTCTGACAGACTGCATTACCTTGTTACCAAAGGCCATCCTATTTCCTCTGTCCCTTCCTCTCATCACTTATTGTTCTTTATTGATGGGCATTCAGGCTCTTCGGTCACAACAGCCAATGCTGCAATGAGTGTTCTGTGCACACATTTTGCAGATGTACACAAGTCCTGGGATGCAGTCTCAGGAATCCATTGCTGGATCGAAGACTGTGATATTAGATTCTGATCAATGTTATCAAAATGCTGGCAAAGCCCTCTTTATGGCTGAGGCTGAATGTTGTGCCCAAGGGCTGTTCCTAGAGGCCACCAGGCTCAGGACAGAGCCAGGTCTCTCAGCTCCAACCTGTGTGTCCTGCCCATTCAGAGTCCCACTGCATTCAGAGGTACAAGTGGTGGGTAGTGAGGGCAGGGGGACAATGGAGATGCTGGTGCCTCCTGCCCCAGAATGTCATGAAGGGGAGACCTGTTCCCTCAGCTGGGGTATTGGCGTGTGCTTGTGGGAGGGATGTGGAGAGGAGCTCACCAGGCTCTGTCCCTGAGGCTAAGTTTGTCTGGGGCACAGCTCCATCCACCTTCGGATCTTCCCTTCCTCTCTGTTAGATCCAAAAGATGGTCCAGACTGATATCCCCAAAGCCACCAAGGCGTGCCCCTGCCCAGATCACCACTCTGGGGGCTACCTCCCGATGCCTAGGGATCAGGCTGTGATGCCCTACTGGGTGCCCCGGGTCCTGAGGTCTTGCAAGAAGGTAAGAGGGAGGCTCTCACAGCAAGGAGCCTGAGAGTGAGGGCGGGCCTTTGGGGGGACCTAGAGATGAGGGCGGAAGGTGCTGGGTTCTTTCCTCACAGAGGCCTCCATTGACGTCCTGTGGGAGCGTCCTCTGAAAGCCATGGCAGAGCAGCACAGAGGTGGGGTGTGGTTGGGGCCAGGTCTCATGTCCTGGTGGAGGTTGGGAAGGGGGGTACACTGTTCTCTGAGGAGGGTGCCTGTTTCTGCTGCCCTCCTTACCACCATTTCTCCTACCATCTTAGCACTAGCTAAGTTTAGACTAGGTATTATGGTCAAACATTAGGATCCAGGGTTAGGATTAGGGATCAGTCATCCAGGTGGGTAGTGAGGGCAGGGGAACTATGGAGGCGCTTGTGCCTCCCACCCCTACTCCCTCAGCTGGGGTGTTGGCATGTGCTTGTGGGAGGGATGTGGAGACGAGCTCACCAGACTCTGTCCCTGAGGCTAAGTTTATCTGGGGCACAGCTCCATCCACCTCTTCCCTTCCTCTCTGTTAGATCCAAAATATGGTCCAGTCTGATACCCCCAAAGTCACCAAGGCGTGCCCCTGCCCAGATCACCACTCTGGGGGCTATCTCCCGGTGCCTAGGGATCAGGCTGTGATGCCCTACTGGGTGCCCCGGGTCCTGAGGTCTTGCAAGAAGGTAAGAGGGAGGCTCTCACAGCAAGGAGCCTGAGAGTGAGGGCGGGCCTTTGGGGGGACCCAGAAATGAGGGGGGAGGGTGCTGGGTTCTTTCCCCACAGAGGCCTCCATTGACGTCCTGTGGGAGGGTCCTCTGAAGGCCATGGCAGAGCAGCACAGAGGTGGTGTGTGGTTGGGAAGGGGGGTACACTGCTCTCTGAGGAGGGTGCCTGTCTCTGCTGCCCGCCTTACCACCATTTCTACTGCCACCTTCTCCTCTTCCTCTTCTCCTTCCCCCCTTACGCCACCTTGCTTGCTTCCTCATCACCTTGTCTCCTCCTTTCCACCACCTCTTCCCTCCCTCCCCCACTTCCAGCTCTCTCAGCCTGTCTGAGCATCCTGTTCTTCTAACCCCACCCCTGGCACTCAGAGGGTGGTGGCAGGAGGGAGGGTATCGAGGAAGGACCATTGCTCTGAGTTTCTGTCTTGGCTCTTTGCTTTGTTTGGCTCTGGGTTGCAAGGCAGTGACTGCCGGTTGGCCAGGTCCAGCCCTCCTTAGCCCCTGGCACCCTTATCCCATGGTGTCCTGGGTGGTATTAGAGCTTCCTTCTGCCTTCACCCACATTCCAGTTGCTGGGTTTCCACCATCAAGCAGTAAACTGTCCCCAGAATTAAGACCCAGAATCCTTTTAAAAGGAGACCAGGGCACTGATGTTTTTTGCTGGCCATGGCCTCTTTGGTGGTTTCCAGACCAAATTCTCCTTCCCGCCCTTGGATCACCAGGGTGGACACGTTTTCTGACATGCTTTTCTTTTAGGTGGTGAAAAGGCAGCAGAGTTTTAAAAGCATTAAAGGTAAATCTCCCCCGGGAAGGCAGGGGGTCTCCTGACCATCGTGATGGGGATGGGGAGACTTCTATTATCCCAGGTGCCTGTAACACACAGGCATCCACAGACTGGCACACATAGCACTTCTACCCCCGCTCTATTCCCAGTCATCATTAATCACCCACCATCTTTTCCCAATGAACCCAGGGAAGCCTCAGACTTGACCCATCTATCAGCATTTTTTTAAAATTTATTTTTATTGAATTCAGAGAGGGAGGGAGAGGGAGAGAGCAATAGAAACATCAATGATGAGAGAGTATCAATGATCCGCTGACTCCTGCATGCCCTACACTGGGAATTGAGCCCACAATCCGGTCATGTGCCCTGACCAGAAATTGAACTGTGACCTCTTGGCTCATAAGTCAATGCTCAATCACTGAGCCATGCCGGCTAGGCCAGCATTGGTTTTTAAGATGAAACCAGTTTGCAGTCTGGAGTTAGAAGGTATTTAAAGTGTTGTTGTTTTTTAAATCTCTAATTGTCTGTAATTTATGACATACTGTGTGTGTTGTATATACATATATTTATGATAGTTTATTTATATATTCATAAAATAGTACACATTTCTACATTGTATATTCATAACATTCTCTGTTCGTGAGACCATATTTATGCATATACTTAATACACAGTATCTTCATACATTCATGTTTGTGACCTAGAATATACACATTCATATATTCATGACATAGTATATACATATTCATATGTTCATGAAGTAGTACATATTCATGACAAAATATATATCCATTTGTGACCCTGTATCTATATTCAGTTATGCACTCATGTCATACTATACAAGTGTGGCATCTGCACCCTGACCGCTATATCCATTGTCTCTAAAATGAGTGGGTTGGATTTGCTCTTAAAGACCCTTTCTGGTGCTGATGTCCAGCACGTCTGTTTTCTCCGCATTGCATGTGAGCAAAGGAGTGGACATGTTTTGTGAGCTTGTACCATGTCCTCCCCTTGGCATGCTGTAGCCAGGCTCTGAGAAGTGAGTACACCTTGATGGAATCTGTAAACACAGGAGGAAATGGTGGATAGCACGATAGGAGGTTGGATGCCCGATGCCAGGGTTTCTGTGACGGGCGAGTAGTTTGAGCAGCCCTCTCAGAACCCAAGAGAAGCTGGGTGGGAGCATGCTTGGGAAGGGAAGGGAAGGGCCACTACTCAGCATGCCCATCTCTTCATGTTGCAAAAGATTCATATTTTTTCCTGATTATAAAAGTAACACAATTAGGAGAAGTGTAAATTATCACAGCCTTTGCCAGGGGGGCAATTTGGAGGTGTCTGTCAAATTTCATAATATGCATAACCCTTAATCCAGCAAGACCACATCCGATCATGTCTGTAGACGCTCCCACATGCACCCGTCTGCAGCAGTGATTTCCAGGGAAAAATATTGGAAGCAGTATTTTGGGAGAATGAACATCAGTGGGGGTGTATTTGAAACGTGGCACTTGCCACCTAGAGAATGCAGCTGTTGGGGACAATGAAATGGACCCCCTCCCCCCAGAGAAAAAACATTGTGACATAGAAAAACAAAAGGAAGCCCATACACATTTAAAAGCAAAAGCCCTGGCCCTGGCCAGCATTGCTCAGTGGTGAGAGTGTTGACCTGTGCACCTAAAGGTCGCAGGTTCGATTCCCATTCAAGGGCACCTACCTGGGTTGCACGTGCAGTAGGCAACCAATCGCTGTCTCACATTGATATTTCTCCCCACCCCTTCCACTCTAAAAATCAATGGAAAAATATCCTCGGGTGAGGATTAACAACAACAACAAAAAAAGAGTAGCAGTTTGTCCTACTATTCTCCTACTGGTACAGAGTTTTTTAAATAAAGTGATTTTTAGCTTTTGTATCTGAAACTAGAGCCAATCTTTTGCTTTCTGTTTTGTTCATTATGCACCCCCACCCCAATTTCTCTTTGCAGGGCCCTTACCTACCCTCCTCCCTGCCCTCATGGGTTACCAGTGACTGTCAACTCAGAAATACATTGCCCAGCCCTTATCTGTATCCTAACAGGGCTTTTGCTTTTTTTGTTAATCCTCATCTGAGGATTTTTTTTCCCCACTGATTTTTTAGAGAGAGTGGAAGGAAGGGGGAGAAACATCAGTGTGAGAGAACATATTAATTGGTTGCCTCCCGCATGCACCCCAACTAGGGCCAGGGATTGAGCCTGCAACCTGAGGTATGTGCCTTTGCCCAGAATCGAACCCCGACCCTTCAGTTTGTGGGCCGACGCTCTATCCACTGAGCCAAACCAGCTAGGGCCACACTGCTATTCTAATTGTATAATCACACACATTTATGGGTTTATTTTTATTGGTTGTTTTTGGCTTTGAATAATACTCTGCATCTTTAAGTAAATCTAAACACGCAGTTAGTTTATTGTTGAATCATATATGTCAACTGATACATTGATAAAAAACAGTATTAGCCCTGGCCGGTTTTTCTCAGTGGTTAGAATGTCAGCCCGCAGCCCAAAGGGTCATGGGTTTGATTCCTGATCAATGTACCTTGGTTGCAGGTTCCCCAGCCCAGGTAGGGAGGCAACCAATCGATGTATCTGTCTTACATCAATGTTTCTCTTCCCCCCCTTCCTCCTCCTTCCCACTCTCTAGAAATCGATGGGAAAAATATCCTTGGGTGAGGATTAAAAACAACAGCAAAAACAGTATTAATTTTTACTCCAACCATTGTTTTATAGTTCAGGCAGTTAATATTAATAATTTTTCAAGCCCTCAAGCCCATTCAAGCCAGAGGTGTTCACTGGAGAGGGCAGTCTCACTGTACAAGGAGAATTAGCATGTATCCCTTTGAGAGCTTCATACAGAGGAACTTGATTTTTTTAGAGAATGGAAGGGAGGGAGGGAATGGGGGGGGGGAGAGAGAGATGGATGTGAGAGAGACACATCAATTGGTTGCCTCCCACACTGCCCCCTGCAACCCAGGTACGTGCGCTTGACCAGGAATCGAAGCCAAGACCCTTTGGTGTGTGGGCCGATGCTCTAACAACTTGGAAACACTGGCCAGGACTGATTTCTATTTAAAGAGAAAATCTGTATTTCTCATCTTGTAGTTTCTTCTCTTTGCTTTTGCTTAGAATTTTTTAAAGGAAAATATATTTGTTATATTTTATATTAGTAGTGCACCTTCATATCAGTATAATTAGAATGTACGTTTTATAGTAGTAATGCATTAGTAGTATAGTAAATACATGAGTTGTACTATCAGGAGGGCGCGTATTTACAAAGTAGGTGTCTAGAAACCTGAGCGGGTCAAGGAGATGGGAGCACAGGAATCCCACTGGTGGTTGTGATTGCTGTTAACTTTGTATTATGGGGAATTTCAAGTACCCAGATAAGTCCCATGTTTCATCACTCAGCTCCAACCATCAGCTCCTCGCCAACCTGGTTTCATCTGAGCTTCACCCACTCTGTTCTTCAATAAATGAATGAATGAATGAATGAATGAATAACAAGAAACAGATCTCAACTAAATTCCATATCCTTTCATCCATAAATGTTTCCGTACCCAGCTCTAAAAGATAAAAACTCAAAAAACAGCCAGGAGGCCCCATGATCACCATGGAAATAAGTAAACAGCCCTCTTCATCTTGATGAATGTTGGCTCAGTGTCCACACCCTGGGGCTGTGACCCGTCTTGCTGGGGCACTTGGCTTCCTGCCCTGGGTTCTGGAGGTTGTCTGGTGTGCAGTGTACAAACTTAGGATGGGCCTGTCCCCACACCCAGGCTGGGCCTGACTCGCTTTCTCTGCCTAGAATCCCCCCTGGACTCACACTCCTGGCACCACCGCTGGCGGATCTGCTGCAGCAGACACCTCCTCCTCAAGTGGCTGCAGCTCCAGGCCCTTCACCAGGAAGGGCAGCTGGCCCCGGAGAGGAGAGTGATCCCCCAGCCCTCCTTCCTGCCTCTCTGCCTCAGCTTCCTGGCCTTCCTCCAGGCTGTCTTGAGGGCCATCTCGTTCATTCGGTAAGCAGGCTCGTGGGGACAGAGGTGCCCCAGGCCCATCTCACTCCTGGGGTGTAGTTGAGTCAAAGATGTGGGAGAACTTGGTTGTAGTTCAGCAAAAAAGTGAGAAATGGGTGAGGCCATGGTTAGTGTTATACGTTATCAAGTCCAGAGTCTTGGTCATATCCAGAGCAGGTATCTTCTCTCTCATTCCATTGCTTAGTGGAAAAGCAATCAGATATGATGGAGCTGATGGGAGGGACCGGGACACTTTGGGCCTCCCACCTTTCTTCACCTCTTTTCTGTCCCAAGTTCTAAAATCCTCCTGCCCCCCAAAACCTCCAGTTCTAGTTCCCATACATTTTCATCATGTCAGGGTTGAAAGTGGATCTTAGAGCTCGCCCAGCTAGCCCTCTGGGGTTTGAGCACACTTTTGGGGTGGGACCTGCTGCCTCTCCCTGAGCCCTGCCTCAGTCATCGAGGCTGCATGTTGGAAAGCTCTTAACCAATCTGGACCCCACCAGCCTCCACCAGGCCCCACATTTCTCACCTGGAATCCTGCTTAGTCCCTCCTCCAGGAAGCCTCCAGGGTAACTCTAGGGTTCAAGGGATGCCTCCCCTTACCCAGCTTCTTCCTTTAGTCTCCTCTGAAAAAGCCTTCTTCCTCCAAATCCCGCCCCCAGCCTCTGCCCCAGTTCACCCATTGTTTCCTAACCATTATCCCATCCAGTCCAATTCCTTTTTATCACACTTCTATGTATATAGACATGCAAATACATATTAATATGTAAATGTATATAATTCTAATTTACATGTATTGACTTGTTTGCTTTGTAATTTTCTGTCTCATCCATGTAATGTAAGAGGAATATTCTAGAAAATGTCCAGTACCCGAAAACAGTTGTAGGTGTCATTTCCCCATTTTTCTAGTAGTTTGTGTCAGGTTAGCTTTGTCTGTGTCATTCTCCCACGGCCAGAAATGGGAGTCCCTTTCCCCTGTGTCCCACTTGTCTATCCTAGTGTTGGACTCCCTGGGATGATAAACAACCCTGTGATGCACATTCACTTACAAGTGGCCTGTAGCTCAGCCTCTCAGGGCATGTGCTCCCAGGAAGGGGCCCGGGCAGGGGTTCGTCAACTTGGAATGACCTGTTAACATGAGTAGGTCAGCGCTGTGAGATTTTCCTTTGCTTTTCATGAAGATTCATCTTTCTTTTTATGCTTGCCAACTCAATGTCAAATCTAGTTGGACTCCTCTGTACCCACTCTGGGAAGAGCAAAGAAAGAAGCTTGACTGTAAAGTAGATGGTCAGGGTAGGCCCAAAGGAAAACTGCTGATGCCTTTACAGGTGTTTGCGTTTGAGGCAGGCTCTTAGGGCAGAGGTGCAGGCACCAAGCAGCTGTTTAGGAGAGATATCCTACCTGGATGGGGTGTATGTGGGATGCCCTGGGAGATACCCCAAACTACACAACTAGCTTATCTGAGGAGAAGCCACTGGCCGCCCATCAGTTGGCCTGGCGGAGACTTGCTAGAATTGGAGAGGCCTCGGGAGGGCGGGCGCTCTCAGAACCTTCCTAACAGGGAGCCCCAAGGAACAGTGACTAAGTCAGGTGCTTGTCTTCTTGATCAGACCTGCTGTAGCTTTCATTCCATTCCATTCCTTTTCTGGTTCTGCAAGGCTGGGACTCTGTCCTTGTTCCAGGAGGAGAGAGCGGGCTCTGAGGGGTTGCGTGACTTGCCTGAGGTCCCATAGCTAAAAGTGAGCCAGCTAAGATTGCACCCTGGCGTCGCCTCACTGCACCCCTCTCCTGCCTGGGCTCCTCAGGACTAAGTGCACTGGGCACCTGGATGGCATCCCCCTCCATTGTGGGGTACCCTGCACTCTCCTCCTCATGGAGGCTTCCTGACAGGCCCTGCAAGGGCAGTGTGGGCTCAGCTGGAGGATGTTCCTAGTAACTGTCTTTCTCTTTGCTTTTCAGCCATTTTTGGGGGGTTTGAAGCTGGAATCTTCAGCTAGTATCAAGAACATCAACAAAAATGTCAATCATAATCAAGGTCTTTAATGAAAGTTGTTAAATCAGGAGGAGTCTGTGATAGCCACTCTTTTCACAGATCACATAATTCACACCCAAGATTCAATCCAAGTTATTTCTCATGGGGGGATTCTTGGTTGTACAGAGTTGCTGTGAATGCGGGTGAGATTCTGTTATAAATGTAATCAATAAATGTTATTTGTGAAACTCTAAAGTGGCCACTATCTTATTGATAATGATTTCCCCTCATGAAGGAGTGACTTATTTTCTACCTCTGAGTCCCTGTGGGATGGGGGCCATTTCCAAGTTTCTCTTCCCTCTGCCAAGGACAGCAGAACCTCTGGATGAGGGACCAGAAATGGTTTCAGCATCTGTTTCAGGTGGGCCTCACTTTAAATAGCATAAAGTTGTATGTGAATTGAATTTTTAAAACTGAGATGCCATTCACATACCATAAAATATATTTTTATTTATTTATTTATTTATTTATTTATTTATTTATTTATTTTATTGATTTTAGAGAGGAGAGAGAGAGAAACATCAATGTAAGAAACATTGGTGGGTTGCCTCCCATACAAGTACTGACCAGCGATTGAATCCACAACCTGGGTATGTGCCCTGATCAAGAGTCAAGCCTGTGACCTTTCAGTGCATGAGACAATGCTCCAACCAACTGAGCCACACTAGCCAGGGCTAAAACATACCTTTTTAAAGTATATTATTCAGTGGTTTTCAGTATATTTACCACTATCTAATTCTAGACCTTTTTAGTCATCCCCAAAAGAAACCCTGTATCTACCAAGCAGTCACTCCTCCTCCCCGTCTTTCCCATCCCCTGGAAACCACTAACCTACTTTCTGACTTTTTCTATTCTGCACATTTCATGTATGTGGGTCTTCTGTGTCTGGCTTCTTTCACTTAGCTGAGTGATTTTTTGTTTTTTTAAATTTTTTTTTTATTGATTTCAGAGAGGAAGAGAGAGAGAGAAACATCAATGATGAGAGAATCATTGATTGGCTCCTTCTGCACGCACCCTCCTGGGGATCGAGCGTGAAATGAGGGCATGTACCCTGACCGGGAATCGAACTGTGACCTCTTGGTTCATGGATTGATGATGCTCAACCACCAAGACACACCAGCTGGACATTAGCTTAATGTTTTTATTTTCATTCCTCTTGGGTATGTACCTAGGAATGCTGGGTCGTATGGCAACTTTCTTACCACAGTGGAAAACTGCACCATTTTATTTTTTATATTCCTGTTAGCAAGACATGAGGGTTTGGATCTCTCCGTATCCTCTCCAATACTTAGTATCTGTCATTTTGCTACTAGCCATCCTTGTGGGTGTGAACTAGTATCTCACTGTGGTTTTGATTTGCATTTCCCTAATGACTAATGATATTGAGCATCTTTTCATATGCTTATTGGCTATTTGTATATCTTCTTTGGAGAAATGTCTATTCATCCCACTGTGTATATTTTAATTGGACTGTCTTTTTTTATTGTTAAATTTGTGTTATGTATTCTGAATACTATATATTTATCAGAAAATAATTGAAAATATTTTCTCCTATTCTGTGGGTTGCCTTTTCACTTTTTTTAAAAAAATCTTTTTCACTTTTATTTTTTAAAAATCCTTTTCACTTTTTTAAAAAAATCCTCACCCGAGGATATTTTTTCTACTGATTTTCAGAGAGAGTGGAAAGGAGGGAGGGAGAGAGAGAAATAGAAAGAGAGGGAGAGATAGAGGGAAACATTGACATTAAGAGAGACACATGGATTGGTTGCCTCTTGCATGAGCCCCAGTTGGGGCTCAGGGGATCGAACCTGTAACCTGGGTATGTGTCCTTGACTGGGAATCAAACCTGTGACCCTTCAGTCCTTCTAACCATTGAGCAACTGTCCAGGGCTCACTTTATTATTTCTTACCTGGGAATGGAACCCACCACCTTCTGGTGCACAGGACAATGCTCTAACTAACTGAGCCACACTGGCCAGGGGCCTTTTCACTTCCTAATGTCCTTTGACAAAAATTTTTTAATTTCAGTGATCTCAATTCTCTAAGGTTGCTTGTTTTCTAGGTCATATGGTCATTTCTAAGAAACCATTGCATAATCCAATTTTACAAAGTACATGCGAATCTATATTGTCTCTTAACAGATTCATAATTGATCTCTTACATTTTTTAAAATCTATTTTGAGTTAATTTTTGTAATGTTTTTATATGGTGTGAGGTAGGGTTCTGGGCTCATTATTTTGCATGTGGATATCCAGTTGTCATACATAACATTCATCAAATGATAAAATTATAGCTATGGAGAACAGATTAGTGGTTGCCAGGGGTTCAGGAGCTGGTGAGGTAGGAGGGAAATGGGTGTGCATATACAAGGGCAACATGAGGCATCCTTGTGATGGAAATATTTTATATCTTGACTTTTATCAGTGTTCTGGTTGTGATATTGCACCATAGTTTTGCAAGATGTTACCAACTGGGCAAACTGGATGAAGGTAACGGGCTCTCTATTTTTTCTTATAAGTACATGTGAATCTACAATGATCTCAAAGTAAAAGTTTAATTAGAAAAGCAGTACAGTTTGCTTTGGGCGATTTTGAGAATACAGGAAAGTACTCAAATCCCCCACCCTGAGCTAACCTCTGTCACTGACCTGGAGGAAGGAATGGACAGATTCCCACAGGAACAGACTCTGGGATGTGTGAATGGGGTGTCCATTTTAGAGACTGAAGAAGTCTAGTCCAGAGGACTGGTTGCCACAGACATGCAGGACAAAGATAGCTCAGTCACGGCCCAGTGGCTGGCCCTGCGGGGTGTGTGGGCACATCCTTCCCTCTGAGCTGGCTGTGGCGGTGGGCCTCCAGGCTCCCTGCGGGAGGCACAGCTGCCTTCTCCTGGGTGCGTCTTCAGAGTCCCAAGGGCTACATAAGCATCAGGCATTCAGTCAGCAAACCATGTTGCTGATTATGTGCCAGGCATTGGGGGGAGAGTGTAAGAAGATGTGCCTGAACCCCAAGTTGCTCTCAGGCAGATGGTGGTGTTAAGAGTGAAGTACACGTGAGCATGGGGTGGGAGAGCAGGGGACATCGTCCATGTCACATCCTGCTCACATGCCCGTGTTGCCCCAAGGACCATCAGTCTCTGACTGGAGTGATCTCTGGCTGCAGGAGTCTGTGCAGGAACAGGTTGGATGTGTTGGGGAGTGACACCCCAGGGAGCAGCCCTCAACCAGTGATAGTGGGAGATGTGGATAAACAGTCTCTTCCCTCTCTGAGCTGTGTCCTGTACTGTCTCCTGAGGGTCCCAGCAGGCTGAGCCCCAACTGACACGGGTCACCTTCCTGGAAATGTCCTTTGTCCTGGCTCCTTTCCTTCCCTGTCTTCCTTCCGCACTTCCTCACAAGGCTTCCTGGATTACCTCTCAATAAAACACTCAATCCTTGCCTCAGGCTCTGTGCTCTGTTTGGAACCTCAGATAAGGCAAGGCATGCTGACTGGGTCTTGAGGGTCAGGGAAGGTTCCTGGGGGCGGGCCATCTGAGCTGAGACTTGAAGATGAGTCTGGTTATCCCAGCAACAAAGGATGAGGACAGAATGCCTGGGCAGAGGCACACAGTGTGAAGGCCTCCAGGGATAGTCTGGGGTGTGCAACCCACATAGGAAGCTCATGCTTGGGAGGGGACAGCGATAGAAGATGGAGCAGGGGCCAGACAGTGGGGGCTTTTAAGATCACAAGTGCATCAGACTTGCACTTGGGAAAAGGCACTATGGCTGAACCAAGCTGAATGGAATGGAGGGTGAGAGTGGACGCGGAGACCCCTTGGAGGCTAGGGCAGAAAACCTGGCAGGACACATGATGTGAGGGAGGACAGTGCCCGGACCTCAGTGGCGGCAGCCATGGTTTTCTCCCAGGTATGGAGGGGTATTTGGCCCCGTCATTCTGAAATCTGTCCAGAGGTGCTCCAGTGGAGTGACAGCCACCTGTCCTTAATGCAGTGACAACTTGGCTGCAGTGGCCCACACTGGACATGCTGTGTGGTCACCAGACCTGAGCCCAGGCACTCCCTGCCTGCGTGAGTTTTCTTGAAGACGCCCTGAGGAGCCACGAGAGAGCATTGCCTGAAAGTCTTGGCCTGGCATCCTCCCAGAGAAGCCAGAGGTCAGGACTGGAAGCTGCTCCATCGCCTTCTGGGGCTGCTGATTGCTGTCTCCAGGAGAGGCTCTGGAGTGTGTGACCTCTGGGCAGAATGTGTCCCAAGTAGTCTGAGGGGTTTGGGGAAAGATGTGCCTGTATCTGGGGCACCTCAGGCTCAAGTCAGGGAACACAGAGAAACACCTTCCCACCCCTCCCTCCCTCTTCTCCACTTCCCTTTTCCATCTCTCTGTCCCATAAAATTTACTGAGCAGTTGCCATGCAGTACAGCTCATCAGGAGAACACTCCGTGATGGCATGTTCTAGATCTGCACCTTTCCGGACTGGAGCCACAAGCCACATGTGGCCACTGAGCACTTGAAGTGTGGCCACTGCAACTGAGGTTCTGAATTTTTTAAAAACATGTTTTTATTGATTTTAGAGAGGGGGGAAGGGAGAGGGATAGAGAGATAGAAACATCGATGAGAGAGAAACATCGATCTGCTGTGTCCTGCAGGACCCCTACTGGGGAATGAGCCCACAACCCAGACATGTGCTCTGACCAGGAATCGAACTGGTGACCTCTTGGTTCATAGATTAATGCTCAACCACTGAGCCACCAGCCAGGCCTGAGGTGTTTTTTTTTTTTAATCCTCACCCAAGGATATGTTTATTGATTTGAGAGAGAGAGAGAGAGAGAGAAACATTGATGTGAGGGAGAAACATTGATAGTTGCACATGTCCCGACTAGGGATTGAACCCCCAACCCAGGTATGTGCCCTGCCTGGGAATTGAACCTGAAACTCTCTTGATGTACGGGATGGCTCTCCAACCAACTGGGCCGCCCGGCTGGGGCTGAGGTTCTGAATTTTAATATTTGTTCACTTCAGTTCAACTTGGAACAGCCATGTGTGCTTGGTGACTAGCACATTGGACAGCACAGGCCGTAGCCCTGTGGCTGCTGCCCTCCACCGTCCTCCCTGCTGGCTGACGTGACAGCACCATGGGATCCTTCCAGGCTTCCAGAATGTTCCCTGATCCTGGTTACAGCATTTTCTTT